CGGGAGTATCTGTTAGCTCCCTCTGACGTCGGAGCCATGTGGCGTCGACGTTGTGGTTCACCGGGCGTTCCATGATGTTCGACCAGAATTCTTCCACTTCCGCCTTGCCAGGGATCTTCTTTACTTCCATGGGTTTCGCTCCCAGTTCCCGGTAGAATAGACTCTGGTTATTCGTGAAGCGCTCGTTATGCCGGAAGTAATTGACCTTTTTCGTGTACAGCCTTATCCTCAGGGCCCAAGCTTGGATCTACATCTTCACGTTCTCTATGGCGGTCGGGAGATCGGCATCGGAGGTGATCTTGTACTTGGGACACAGCCGCTTGTAGGTCAGTTTTACTTTCCGGGACGTGTTTCCCTTCTTGATCTCTTTAAGGGTACTAAGGTCTCGCCTGGCTGCATCGATCCGGCTTTGGAGGCGCCTCTTCCAAGGTGGAATCGAGGAAGGGCTTTTCCCGGGTTTTTGGGTCGGCTTTTCCGGTCCTTGGCATTTCTGATGAATGGTAATGGCAGCTGCAAAGGCACAGTGGTTCAGCTCAGTCAGATCGCAGTCTGCAAGGTCGCAGGAGCTGATGATCCGGTTGATCTCGATGTCTTTGGAGATGGCAAGGTTGAGCTTTAGTGGTCTTAGTCGGGGTCGGTCGGACATCTGTAGGTACAGCCGACCCACTCAAAAGTTGTAACCTGAGGGATGCATAACACGACATTTTTCCGGTACTCAACATCACGTCAGTTATGATTGTGCCAATTTTCACCTTTCATAGGAATGGGAGTGGATAGCTGCTTTCGCTCCAATCTCAATTGTATGGCTTCGCTTTTTGGTGTTACTGAAAATCTTTTTTTGTTTTTGCCCAAATCTCTCGGACAAAATTACATTCCTCGGAAACGCCACCACCAAACGAATAAGACCCCAGGGGATGTATCAGATACTATAAAATTTTTCGTGAACTCAGTGTCTCAGCAGTCATGCTCATAGTATGTTTCAGCCTTCCATTTCCCTCCCTTTGACAGGTGCAAACAATAATTGAGAACAATTCCTCCAATACATTTATCCCCAGGGCATTCACCTTCTAAGTAAGAATTTTCTGAACTCAGCATGCCACTCGGTAATTCCGTAGCAAGTTTCAGATTTCTACCTTATATAGAACATGGTCAGTGTCAGCGTCAGTCACGATCATCCATATACAGGGGTCCCGTGAATTGGTAGCCATTTTTAGTGAGCCTCTTTTCCTGAAAGGAAAGAGACCACTAACTAGTATGTTCCCGTCCTCTCCGTCTGTGCCGCACTTTGGTTATCTGACAATACCTACAAAATATTGGCCTGATTAATGCAAAAATTGGCAAGGTGATAGATATGAACAAGATAGAGGTTGAATTCGTTTTTTGGCGAATTTGCACAAAAACTGGGCCATTTTATTGCAACATTTTTTATTTGAAATTTAGCCGCGGAGGGGAAGGCATGAGTACCCGTTCGCCCATCAGGTTCTGGACCACAAAGCGCAAGCACGTACGACCCAGTCTTTCAGCGCAGGGCCAAGTCAGGCATAAGAGCTGAGTCCCCTACTGACTGAATAAGAAATGAGGTTATTGATGGTTGAAGACAGGAAAGAGATGGAATTTAGTAATAATTGTACTAAATTCCACGAAAATGAGAAAATGAGGGTTTCCTTAGCTGAAAGGAGGTCCACTTCTGACTGGATTGGGCTTGCCCAACTTGTTATTTATTGACGACAACAAGCATACGCAACTTTCCAACTGAAACATGCATAGAACAGTTACAGCAACCTTTGAAGTTTTTTGTATTACTAAACATATCCAGCCTTTCCTTCAATTAACCTTTTTTACAACGTGAACCATGGCAGGGTACCTGAATTTTGAGGAAAGGCATTGGCGACCACCTCCGCCCCGCTCGGACCAGAGGCGGGCTACTTTTAAGTGGCCCACCCTGTATAACGGCGTGGGTGGAGGTTAAAGAAAGTTCTGAGGTTGTATGGAAAGAAGGCCAACGTTTCTTTCGGGGGCGCCCTATAGCAAGCAAAACCATTACACGCATTCACAAAAAGTTCGTAGAAAAGGGAACAGTGACAACAACGCCTAAACCGGGAAGGCGGCGAAATGCTCGAACAAGGGACACTGTTGAACAAGTGAATGAAGCTCTCACCAACAGTCCAAGCAAGAGAGTACATCGAGCGACCTTGGAATTGAGATTCGGAAAGTCATCCGTACATAGCAATTCTTAAAGACCTCAAGCTTAATGCTCATCATGTTAAAGGGTTACACGAACTGAGAGCCCCAGATTGCCAGATTACCAGCCCTGGAAACCCCAGATATCCTCCTCGCCTATATCTTACGCGATTCCTTCAAACTCAGATACCGTGCCATGGTTCACTCTGAAAAAAGGTTAATTGAAAGAGAAGCTGGAAATGCTGAGTACTAAGCAAAACTTCAAAGATTACTTTAACTGGTCCATAGAAGTTTCAACTGGAAAGTTGGATATGCTTGTTGTATTCACCAAATAAATGTAGGTACCTACTTACGGGACACCCTGTACATTGGAAGGAAAGAAACACTGAACCTTCTGTGGATTCGATTCATGCATTGCAATGTGGTGCATCCCCAACAACAGTCCAATTTGCTCATCTGCTCAGAACAGGTGACAGATTTGCCCACTTTGGGCAGGCTCATCGCACACGTGAGTAATTTCAGTACTTAGCAATACTACGCTGCATTACCTCCAGCTCGTGTGTGGAGTTCAGTGGTCCGATTTTTGACTCTATGAGGAGCCTTTGGGAGGCTTGACATGTTTATTTGATTCTCTTTCTAGAACACTGTCTATGATGGATATAGTATTCACTATATCATGAGAAATTGCAATCGCATGAACTGGAGTACCTGCCTCCTAACGGTTACATCGGTACGAAGCCAAATCCTTGCTTATTTTTTTTACAGCATTAGTGAAATATGATGAGCTTAATATTAAAAGCGTCATTCACTGTATCTCATGAGGACGATCTTCTTCTTAGTACCACGATGTGGCGAACTCGTAGTTGGCATTCTCCAAAGAGAAACTCGACAAATCTCTTCCACGATTCGTCAATGAGTGAGGAAAAGCAACCGCATCTCAATCTCGCTGATTGCACATACAGAACAACTCATTGTCCTTCGTGTCTTACAGGGGAAAAAAAACTGAATGCCTGCGTGGCGACGATCCTCGCCCGTTACTCGGAGGAGTTGCAGTTCATCGAGATCGATGGTGTCTTGCGCGACCTATATGCTGGTGGGATCGTCACCCATGAGGAGCATATCGACGTGGCCAAAGAGAATTTGAAGGAAAAGTTCCTGTTCCTCCAGAAGTGCCTGCCTCGAAGGGATGGGGCCTTCTCAACTTTTGTTGAGATCTTACGGAAGAGAAATCATGTCCACCTTGCTAACATTATTGAAGGAGGTGAGATCATATTTCGGAAAAAATACAAAGAAATTTACAAGAAAAGTCAATTAACATTTTAATAATATTACATTCGAGATTGAAGTAATCTCTCTAAAATTAGTTAGAAATCTGGTACAGAAGCATCTGAAATCTAGTACATAGGATCTACTGACGTCAGTGCAATGTGCACGAGCTAAGAACAGCGAGGTCAGGAAACTCTGCCTACATATGAATAATTCGACTATATTGATATACAGTGTCCAAAAAGTCCAAAAAACACATAAGGACATTACATTTTTTAGGGAAATACTCTAATCTAAACTAATGAGTAAACTTCGCAATGCATTATATTAAATATTTAACAGTTTCATAATAACCATTCAATATAAATCAAATGAATATTAAAAAAATGGGAACATTAGAGCAGCCAAGTGACTAGAATCACAAAAACCTTGTGTCCCGACATTTGGGAGACCATGTACCAATCGAACTTGGAGAAGGAGACCGCGGCTATTCAGAATTTGGCTATAATTGAATCGCGTTAACATCACGAAATAGCGTATCCTTACCAAATATTTCTCCTAAATATTGGAAAAACATGATAAAATTAGACTCAATCGATAATACTTCATTTACAGAATTGGAGAAGACGTTAAAAGGAGATGAAGATTCCACGGTTACACCAGATTCCCATCTTTCTAGTGCAACTACAGATAATGAGAAGCGTTCGGACATGCTAAATGCGAATGCGGTGCTCCTAAGGCCTCCATGCAAGAGAACGTGGCAACAGGTGGATGGATTTTGGGACGTCCAAAAGCCTAATGCAGTACGCAGAGAGCCCCTATTGTAAGTCCATAAATGATATGTCGCCAATGAATTAGTCATACTACTCCGGCCTTAAGAGTTTCTACTTGTTCATTTGAGTCAGTCAGGTGGACATGCAAGCGATGGACAGCTCCCCACAATAATATGTTGAGGAAACCAATTTCAGAGACAGAAAATCCAGGAGATACTTTTACCATTTCAGACCTGAATTAAGGTAATAATAGGAATACTAGCGGAGCCCTGCGCAAATTTCGCAAAGTAAGAATGTAGGGATTGGCACATTTTGTAACAAATACTCAAAATCCCATAGGTATATGATCTGAAGGAAGATGCTTTGAATCCCACCATAGAATAATTGCTCCATGAATTTCGTCTATTGGCTTTCATTGAAGAACATGTGGAATTGTTATGAATTTTAGAATTTGACTTCAAAAGATGTATACAGTATTTTCTAATGAAATCCTCTCGGAACACGACATTCTTTTTATTAATGCCATCGTTTCCTGGGAATCAGCCTTATTGGGGTCCAGCCTCTCTCTTCGCCTTGATGTAAGCGCTGCACTCTTAAAAAAAACTAAATTTATTGGAAAAATACAGCCTAATGAAGGAAACATTTACATCGTTGGAATGCTTGTCTTTCGCACTTGTCGATAGTGATGACTAAAGCAGCACAGCTTGAAAATTGTCACTGTTTGATCTTGAGAGGCATTGTTGAGCCTTGCCATCCAGGTTTCTGACGACCATGGCAATAATAATACGCTTTCAGGTCAATTTATGGGGAGTAAGCCAAGGTGGAGAGAGACCGTTGACGAACTCCATCAGATAATTTTAGTGCTCTTTATTATCCGAGACCACTCTGGTGATCCTATGTTATGTTTTCTCATGCTCCAGTTCCCATCTTTATTCGATGTTCTCATTGAACACTGAATTAATGTTGGCACAAGCATACACGTAAACACATAGACAAACGCGCACATATTTGGGACCACAATATTGTTACGCGTTGCTCACTATATTACGGCTTTCCACAGTCAAGTAACCAATATTTTTAGGGGCCGACGTTTTCACGTAATTGTTTCGCCCTGGTGTATTGAACTTGTGCGGAAAGATGAAACTTGGTACATAACTACCTATTGGGATGCTGCAGGCATAAAATTCAGACTTTGGAAGTAAATGCCCCCAGCGCACAAATTTAAAGGGGAGATATTTTCAAATAATTTTTTCAGCAGTTAAAATGATGAACATGGAAAGCTGAAACTTTGCATGAATGTGACAACTGAGACAAGTAGTTAAAGGAAAATGTTAAGTTTCCATACATCCCCTGGGGAAATATTTTGAGGGGCGATGTTAAAAAAAAATTTGGTCATGACGAATTGGACTGAAATGGAAAGGTGAAACTTGGCACACATATAAATGACATGAAATTATTATTCTTGAGTTGAGGGAGTATTCAGCTTTCAAGGTGCATCACCTCATACAATAGCTTTTGGTTGGGTCGGCTTTCCCGAGCATATATTTTCTCCAGCGAAAGGGGCAAACGTATAATATTTAAACTTTGTGGACATGTAGTTCTCTGATGATTGATTTCGGTAAAAAAAAGGAACACTTTTCGGTTGGAACGCCAAAGGGCATATATATTGCAAAGGGCTTATTTTCTCGATCCAGCGAAACAGAGGGCGCTAGAAAATGTAAATTTGCCAAAGAAGAACATAATAATTAAATGAGTAAAGAAAAAATTCTACCTATCAGATATATATTGACGATCATGACTGACTGACCGATTGACTGACGCTAATTCTAACCATGTTCTAGAAAGCTTAGAAATGTGAAACTTGGTACATATGTACAATTTGGGGTGCAGAGTTCAGAAAAATCCGACTTTGGAGGTACGTGCTTTGGGGGTACACATTTATGGGGGGAGATGTTTTTTCAAATATATATCGTGATGGATAAAGATGTCATCGAGAGACAACAATGGATGTTACCGTTTCCGTGGTGTAGTGGTAGCACATCTGACCGGCAATCGTGAAGCCTTGGTTCAATTCCCCACCATTCCATGTTTTTTTTGCCTTCTCTTGCCATCCATGTCCACTTGTTTCTAAATATATTTTTTTTACCGCCAGCAAAAAGGGGAAACGTATGATGATGAAACTGGGTGCCATGGAGTTCCCTGAGTCTATATTTCAGAATTAAAAAAAATGTTCGTTAAAAAGAAACAAGACACAATTCATGAGTCCCATTTTCGCGAATTATTTTTCCATCCAACGAAACAGAAACGGGAAATTTAAAATTCCCTCAGAAGTACCTGTTTGATGGCTGAGTACAGGAAAAATCCTACTTTTGAAATATGCACCCTTAGCGTAGATTATAAGAGGGAAGTATCTGAAAATGTATTATGCACCCTTACAAAAAGGGACACGTGAAAAGATTTCAAGTTAGGCACACTGGAAATAATAGAAATAATGATTTTGATGAAAATGAAGACTTTCGTCCCCATATATCACGTATTTCAATGGATGTATACTTACAATATGTGTTTCCTATTTCGCAAGAATTGAATTAATTAATTATTTACCAAGGTAATGGAGCGCCGAAGGCGCGACCATAGCGAGTTTTATATATAGACTATACTTTATTGCATTGTGAGCACTTTTTCTTTCTACTTAAAATGTGTATGTTTTATGTGTGGTTTTGCATTTCGTATATATGTACCATAACAAACCATATGCAGTTGACTCGATAAGTGGAAGCTCTAGGGAAATTCCACTTAACGAAAATTCGAGTTGTAGAGGCTTTTTTGGATTCTACACTCTAAAACATTGTATATGCAATGCAATAACACAAAACTTGCAGCACCATTTCATTTTAGCATAATCACTTGAAAAAGTCAATTAGGAGAGTTTGACGTGTTTTCACAACACCCTCACGTTCGACGACATATTCCTAGTGAGCGATTCCGTCTAAAGTCTTGTGTCAAACCATATGTCGCCTCAAGAAAGCCCCGCTAAGTTTCAAGAGCATGCGCTTGGTAAGGTTGGTGTGGAACAACGATCATATTCAGCCACTTGAATAATACGAGAATTATTGAATTGGCAAGTTTTGACACATTTTTTAAAGATTTATTTTAAGAAAGTTATTCTTACGAAAATGTCTTTAAAAAATATATATATCAGTGAAAATATGCTAAAATCCCCCTCATAATGACACCATTCTTCATATCATTGGCGCTCCGTCCCATGGAAAATCACTCAACCAAAGATGACGAAAAATCAGAAAATTCCTATTTTGAGGTGATATTTTCTGTAGCTCAGAAATATTCCAAAAAGTAAATTACTTCATCGATGCACCTCCAAGAGGGTTAAATATACCAAAAACGAGAGAATTTTCATTTCCCATAACACAGGGATGTTTTTGGGGTGAAAATTGCATGCATTTCTCATTTTCAAAATTAAACTATGATTCTGAAATCAAATACTTAATCAAATACTAATCAAATACTAATGATGTTTGGAGGTTCAGCTATTTAAGCCCTCCGGTATCACACACCATGATATGAAGAAAGGTTCATGGGATGGAGATTTACCCGTCCATGGGGGTTTCCCGTTTTCCCCCAAAGTTCGGGGGTGATATCTCACTAACTGCAGATCCGATAAAGTTGATTCACTTTTTTCCTATGATTGACTGCAATCGCTAAAATTGTTTATCCTTAAATCCGAGATTGCCGTGTGCATTGATTGGTTCAATTCGTATGGAATGATCTTGATGTAGAGATCGGCAGTGTATTTGTACAGGGAGCACAATAACAGTACTGGAATTAATTTGTGGTTCAGAAAAAATGCCAACATTTAGTACCAAGGAATTGGCGTAGGACGTAGTGGATTTGCATGCCGTCTATTTAATGGCTTACCTACAAATAGGATTCAACTTCATCGCAAAATCAGTAACCGTTTTTCCTCCCAACATTTCGAAAAGCTGGTGTCAAATACCTTGTTTTGTCCCGTTTTGCCTCTATGGGGCAAAAAGGGGCCATACGAAATAGTTTCAAAATTCCAAATATTGTTTTAATGTTTTTCTTCATAATATATGCCTACTTAGATATGTCACAGAACATTAACATCAATGAAATATCAACAAGTAGCAAACTAACGATTTTCCACATATTTTCTTTTGTATTCATTAAATGCCTATTTACTTCAGACCACAGTACGGAAGCAACAATGAAACCTTTGCGGCAACACAAATGTTGCTGTTTCAATATGTTATCCATGTACTTATCGCACATGTAAATTTAAAATAGTCACAGAAAAGCATGTACTCATTCATGTCGTCATCGATGCCAGCTTAACTGTCATGAGGCGAATTCCGTTAACCCAACCTTCACTGGGTTTTGAGTGAGAGGAAGAATCAGAAAGTAACCTATCGCGTTAGCCTGAGCCTCAACATTGTAATTGGTATTCCCGCCAGAGGAGAATTCATCTAGAGAACTGCCATACTGCCCAATTTTGCGATGATTATTCCCTCGCAATCCCAAAACACCGTTATCACAACCTGATAGTGATCATAGCAACTGATGACATAGCCATTGCTTTTAGCGGAGGGGCATCAGAAGGTCGCCGCTATTCCATGGACTGAATTTATGTTTGTGGATTAAAGTAAGGTATTCAGGTTTCATCTGTCGTGATGATTTGTTGCCAGAAGCTATCCCCATATTGTTCCTGTAGAGCAGGGGTGGGCAATTATTTTGGCTGCGGGGCCACTTCACGAGTTTTGGTGAGCATCATGAGCCGCACTCCAGTATCTGGCACAATACTGTACCTCAATAGCACAATCATTGTCTGTCGGTCCTATTTCTTCCTTTGGAATAAAAAACGAACGACAGCTCTTCTACTGCGTCACGCTTTTGGATCATCCAGATTCTCACAAAAAAGACTGCGAAGTATATCGCTCTCAAAAACATTTCATGTCGTTTACCTCTGGTCACGTTAAAGTGCACTTTGGTGTGACCTATAGATATGTCCCAGACAA